TATGCGCAGCTGGAATCCACAATCGAATTTCTTCATAACAGCTCTGTCAATTTGATCCTAATATAGCTCGCCGTGGCTTTGTAAATGAAATGAAAACCTCAGTGGCGCTCTCGCTCCCCACAACGGCTGCTTTGTGCGTCGGGAGCGACGCCCGCAGAGAGCCCCAGCCGCTGACCGCGAAGGCGCTGGCTCAAGCCTCGGCAATAACATCGCTGGCGATCCGGTAACTTTTCAGAAAGTGAAACGCAACTGCGCCCTTCAGTATTACGCTGGCTCGTTGGGCCGTTCTGAATGCCTAATGGCTTCTAGCGGTTGAAAGCAAATCCGTGTTATGTGATGAAATTACTTTTTTTTGTGACTGGAGAGATCCAGGGAGAGCAGTGTTTACCTGCAGGGAATAAGCCTTGAAGCTGTGCTCATTCGCTTTTTAAATTTTTAAAATCGTCTTTCTTCTTTTGGATTCCAGTTATATAACATATTCTTCTTGTTCCTGCAGAATACATTTAAAGATAATGCAATAACGCGTGAACCTTAAGTGTGTGTCTGATCGAGTCCGTGCATTAGGTGTCACAATATTATGGCTGAATTATTTTATGATGGTAACTTAAAGCGAAAAAATAACGTAGGAGATTTGTGTTTATAGCTAGAGTGAAGCTTGCAGCCTTAAGATCTGTATCCCGCCTCTGCCATTTTATATCCCATTATTGGATGTACTGTGGGAAAAAAAAAAAAACTTACAGGGATTAATAACAAGCCCCCACACCAAATCCCTGTAAATGACAGCAGGGAATTTGCAATAAACCAGACAAAAAACAGCCCGCTTCAGATGCTAAGCTGTAAAATCGTCTAGGAAATGTCAGTTACGTGCATAAATAGCTTTGTGTTTTTTCCATGAGGACTGAGTTATTTGCATGATCATCTAACTATTTTGGGCAGACGAGCACACAGAGAGAGTGGAGAGGGTTGTGGAGTTCAGGGTTGATTGTGGGTTAGCGAAGGGCCAGATTACCCACAATGCCACTATTCTCAAACGCTTCTGTGGTGGTTCTTCCTACCTCTGAAGTGGATCCTGCAAGACAAATATGAAATAATCACATTCCAGAAAGAAGCCCCTTTTTCCTGGAAGGAGTGAAAAATCCAATACCTTTGCTTTCCCAGAATCTGCGCCGAATCCTGTCAGACACCTGAGAGATTGCTTTAGCACTGCGCAGAGTAGTCGGGGCATAGATTAATCTTGGAAGATATTGCTTTCAATTCCGGAAGCGCTTTCTATGACTCGTGGCACCAGTCCCTGAGCCAAACTGGCTGAACTGGGCTCGGGCTCTGACCAAAACACAATATCACACTTAGCTGTTTCCCGTGAGGCTGGGGAAAGCTAAGCCGTACAGGATCCTGTGCTTGAGAATGAATTTCTGGGGGGGGCAGCGACTTGCGGCTCGAAACAAACACCCGAGGGTCACCCAAGGAAGTGCGTATCATCTGTGAAAAAATATGTTATGATATTACAAAAAAAAAAAAAAACAGTCTGCTAACATTCTGCAATAGAAAGGCGCTCAAACCTGAAGACAGTTGGATGTCAACAGGCTATCCGGTGTCCCAGTAACACCGTAGAGGCGCGTCTTGTCTTATCTTGCTCAGAATGAGCTTTTGACCACCGCAGTACCCCTATGTACAGACAGGATCTACAATAGACAGCATATTAATGACCAGCAAGAGGCGTTATCCCCTCGGCTGGGTCCCGTGGTGAGTCGCAACTCGCGACGATGTGGAAAGTTCAGTCATGCAATCCTGAAGACTTTGGCCGAATATAATTACACCACTCCGGTGATTCAACAAACTTATTTAAGGGCCTTAAATTTCTTCTCTGGAAATTCCCTGGAAAAATCCTCAAGTCGGTTCATTGGCTGAGCATTAGTGAACATTGTAAACAAAATCAGGCTTTTCATTAGTGCTCCTTTGGCATTAGTAGAAAAGATCTTTCTGAAGGAGATGGCAGGTACCTCTGCTCATGATGGCTGCGGTGGGGGGATTAAGGGAGTACTGGAATTCTGTCACATTCTTCTTGTCATGAATCACTTCATAATTTACCCTAGAGAAGTATGTTTCCTTAAGAAATTCTTCAACTTCTTTGTGATGATAACACTCAGCCATCATGTTGGGACATTACTGATGCAGTTAAAATGTAACCACAGCAAAACAACAGCTGATTATTATGAGCTGTCTTTAATATCCTAGCTGCAGCTGGATTCATGACTTCCCTTTGGAGATAATAGTTACATTTTCAGGTTATTTATATCGGTTCATTAATGATTTTCTTTCCACTTGCATACTGATAAAATTTCAAAGAATAGGCTTAGCTTTTTAAGGCAATTATTTTTGTTTGAAAATGCTTAAAGTGCTGAGTGAAAGTAGCGTTTCAGCATTTTGAAATGTACCTAAAATGTAGCCACAACAAATGAACACAACGGCAGGATGGGATTTCATTTGAAATAAAACTACCTTCAAAGGAACTCAAATTACATTTATAGTTGCAGTAAAATGAATGGCGAGAGGAGCCAGAACCTTTGTTTTCGTTTTAAGCGCCGTCGTTCCGAGAGATTCCTCAGCCGTGGCCTGCTGCCCTTCCCAGAATCCAAATGGGAAGCAGACCGGCCGACTTTTCCCAGTGGATGGGCCCGGCTGCCGCGTGCCGAGTCACTGCGGAGTGGGCTGACGCAGTGCCAGATTCCAGGAGTGCCTACCTGACATTTCCCAGACCCGTAGCTGAGGAGGCGATACAATCGCTGGACCTTTATTAAATTCCAGTGCAGCTGTTGCTGTGGAGGGTTCCACCATCAGGCCGGAGGAACCACAGTGTGGAACATGGTCACCAGCACAGCCAACGCTTCTAAGCAAAGGCCTGTTATGACCTCGGCACAGAGCCCTGACATTATAACTGCACATTGCATGTGATGCATGCTATGGCCTATATAAATGTTGCCTGTATCGTGCCCGGGGGCGTCAGACATTCATGGAGACCCTGGCAGATTCACAGGGCAGAAATATCAGTGGGAGGGGTCCTAGCATGGGGCCCAAGGTGACATTTTGTCAGGAGGGCCAGCATTTCTAGCGACACCCCCTGATTGTGCCTGTGTCCACTCTCAGCACTGCTCTACTTCAATTTGCACAAATTACTTGTGTGACTTGTGTCATGTATTTATTCTCTCCATGCGTCATGTCACCGACATGCCAACAAAAATCTACACCAGCCCTGGTCATGTGCCAGTAAGGATTCTGATTCTGGTTGGGTGGGGGTACAGCTGGGTAAATTCAAAATGCACACAGACATGAGGCTTCAGAATCAATGGGACAGAGCTTGAGACTGTCCACCTGTAAATGGGTGTAAACAGGGTGCCAAGACTGCTGAGATTGGCAGTAAATGACCAATCAGGACATTTCCAGGGAAGGTCAGGGGTCACACAGATTTGACCACAGCAGCTTCCTCTGCCCGTAAACGTGAGTACCCACCGTTTGGCTCGATGTTGGCTTCCTTGCTAATTCACAGAAGAATGTGAACGTAGGAGTGAGTGGTTGTGGGGGGGGGGGGGGGGGTTGGTGTTCTTCCGGCAATTCTGCTTATAATTAATGCAGTTCCTTGCCATGTTTCCCCCTGTCTGGTGACCGTGACTGAACCGGGGGGGTAACAGAATGGTGACTAGCTTAGGCTCGTGCCTTCAGGGGACACTCCATCTTCAGATAAGAAACTCGTTGTTTCCAAGTAACCAGATACTTAGAATGTCCCACTTTCCAGATGTTGTTTCTGCTGTTGTTATTGTCATTGTCTTATTTTCAATTAAAAGCACTTCCAGTACTTTTGCACATTGTCTATGTCTCATTATATAGCCATTGTCTGTTTTACTCGAACATGCTTTTTGGAATTTTCAGACAGCTAAAGCATATCTGGAGAAGATCGGACCGCTTGAGGTTTACTTTTGTTGGGAACATTTTGAGGTGGACCGTTAGCGTTTCAGTAAGAGCAGGACCGAGGCAGACTGTTGGCAAGTATCTGTCAGCTCTCGCTCACATTTTCTCTTATTACCTCAGCTTGAGACCAAAAACCTCCTGTGGCAAGATGACCCTAAAGACACCCTAAATGAGAAGAAATTATGTGCCTTTCATGTCGGCCTTTTATGCTTCCCGTTCCACGGGTTTTCGAAATATACGTCGTCCCTGCCAATGTTTAACTTTGTACCTCTCTCATAACTGCACGTTTATATCTGAGTCACTGCAGCACGACCATCCAGTTGTGAGCAATGTGAGTGATGTGAGCGATGTGAGTGATGTGAGCGATGTGAGCGCGCGTCTTCCTGCTTGTCTGTTACACCCAGGAGGGGCACCTTTGGTCTATGGCTCTGCTTCAAAACAACACAAACAGTGGCGGAGATAACAGAGGCCTGTCCGACGTTCCCACAGAGGCCTGTCCGACGTTCCCACAGGAGCTGAAGATTTTCACTTGCATTATCTAAGCCAGCGTTTGTCAGCCCAGGCCCTGGGGACTCACAGATCTGCTCCCTCCCAGCTCACACCTGTACTGGGCATCCAGTCGTCTAGATGGCACGTTAAGAACAGGAAGGGAGCAAACATGAAGACTCCCTGGGGGTCCCTAAACACTTTTCTAAGCATTACAGCTGTATAGTATAGCCAAGACCCCCCCCCCCCCCATATATATATATATATAGAATAAAAATAAAACATGGAAATCGAAAGATTATAAACTAATAAACAAGCATGTAAGCATACAAATAAATGTGAGAGCCCCTCATATGAGTAAGAACAGCTTTGTGCATATGGGCTTATGAAGTCATTAAGAATATGCAATGCAGGGTAGGTAGCTAGGTATGAAAAGGTGCCCAAACATGCCTGACTAGACTAGCCTCGATTTCTCCGCCTCCCCCCGCCCCCGGGCACCCCTCCCCATCTAGGCGGCTCCTACTTACCCTCCCTGCCTGCACACCGCCGCCCATCTCCCTGAATAACGCACTGAAGATGGTGCTCTGCTTTCCTTACCATCGTTCACCCGGCGCTTTCCCCAACAGTAGGTGCATCTATCCATTCCCTTTGATGTGTTTACAATGTGAAAGGGCCTTCAGTTTCTAATTCATGATCAAAGGCTTTAATAAGCTATTGGTTACAGTTAACAAACTTTGTAAATGTGCGCTGCTTTATAGAGCATTGAAAAGTTGCTTATAAAGATGCACCCTTACACATTCAGCTGCTCCAAGGGTTGTGGCTCAGAACACTGTGACTGTGATCGGAAGGTCACTAGTTCAGATCCCAGGGTCAGGAGAGTGATTTGACCATGGGGCCCTTGAGCAAGACCCTTAACCCCCAATTGCTTCAGAGATTAGCCGACCCCACCCTCTCCAAGATGTATGTCGCCTTGGATAAAGGAGTCTGCTAAATGACTGAAATGTCCATTTCTATGGATAGGTCTTGCTAACAATATGAATAGGAAATGTTCCAGCAACCCCATCTCATCCAGGGTGGACTCCCCCCTTGTGACCTATGCTGCCAGATCTAGGTTCCAGACCTCCCTCCATGGTCCTATATTGGATGGATGGATATCTTGAAATGATGAGTTTCTGGAAAAATGTTATATCTCTCTGTCCATTTTTCTGCTCCCATTAAAGTTTCTTTTTCTTCTTTCTTTAAGCACGACCCCAATCCTTTTCCTGGCTAGCAAATGCAGTGTCTTCATTGTGATCTCACTGAATTTAAAGAGAGGAACAATCTGGGTAAAGAGGAGAGACGCGCACACTGAGCCGGACCATGTTTGTACCTCAAAGGTACCGTTCAATGGGGCTGCCCTTCATTGTCTTCATAGGCTACTCCAGACCCCACCCCTCATCCACCACCCCTCAACCCAGCCTCCCTAAGAGGGCACTCACTGAACCTGAATGGCATTAATTACCTCCGATAATGAGGGCCGGAATGAAAGGACTATGGCCGCCTGCCAGTGCAGCTCGGTGGTCCTGCACAAAGGCAGATTGTGGATTGCTGGCATGTCTTGTGGATTTCAGAAGCAGATGAGGAGGCTTTTTCGCGAATGGGTCTTGATTTTTTATTTTTTTTTACTTAACCTGCGGAATTTGGGGTTCTGGCACAGCGGTGATTCTTTCCACTTTGTCCACACAAAGAGAGGCTGGTATGTGCACTGGCTGCTTTAATGAGAGCTCTGGGTTCGACACCTCTAGCTCCATTAGGATCTCACCCCCTCACCCCCCCACCCTCTAAGACAGCCCTTAGTTGCTATTTCTGGGGATTACTCTTTGGTTCTTTTTGAAGTGTCTGAAAGTCAGAAGGGTTATAAAGGCCCATATTGGAGGTAGTTACATCCTCAGGTCAGCTTTTGTGTGGGGCAAATGGTGGACAAACACTGGTCGCTTTGACGGAGAGCTTCCTCTCGTTCTCAAGAGCTCGGCCCATTCTGTCCGCAGCCCTCGCTAATACCTGCTATTCTGCGCGCCGCGGCAGTTTCCGTGTCTTCTGGGGGGGCCTTGCTTTCATCCCGTTGCCTGGGTTGAGAACAACAGTTGTCCATCACCCTCCAAACCCTCACGATCCTCCGACCGTAGAGGTATACGGTGAAGTTTCCTCCATGAAGCATTTTAGTTTCGCATTTTAACTTACTGTAGCATCAGAGAGTCAACTTGTATATCTTTTCATGCTACCTCATACTGGTAGACAAATCCTCAGAATTCATATGAATTTACATGTTAGAAATACACAGCATTATGGATGTGACATGAAATTGTGACGTGGAGACCTTTGCACGGAATTGTCCGAATTTAAACCATCCAATCATGAATGAGGCATGAGTGATTTAAATCATTAAAAAAGATTTAGTAGCTATTAACGCAGACATCATGCCGGTGAATATCTGTAAGTCAGGAGGAAAGCCGGGAATAATCCTTCTGTTTGTCATTGCTAAGATTCGTCTGCTTCATATTTGTTTCGCAACGCTCTATGCTGTGTTGTATTTACAGATGCTTGATGAGGCCGTGGATGTAATTAGAGCATAAAATGTTGCAGGCGGAGCATGTCTGCGCATCGCATGCGTCGTGTTTCTGTGGCTAGCTGAATTGAATGCAGGCCGTGTGTGTGTGCATGTGTGTGTGAATGAGCGGTCCCCATAAGGATATGTTTACCCTACAGAGCGTGCGTGTGTGTGTGTGTGTGTGTGTGTGTGTGTCCATATCCTCCAATGGTAGTGATCACCGTGGATGATCATAGATGTAGGTGTAAGACCTAATTGGCTAATGTGACCTCTGCACATGGAGTGTAATCGCGATTCGTGTACATTCATTGGTGTTTCTCTGGTCTTGGGTAACAGGTAACGCTTGGGCCAATAAGTTCAGTGAGGCCCTCACTTCTGTAGCTTATTTGATGTCTTCAGGGTCTGAATTCAATACTAGATAGACTAACTCTGTCATTTTTTGATATTTTACGGATCCTGCTTTTGTTTTGCTGCTGGCTCCACACACTCTTCTGGCCATAGCCATGTCTTCTTCATTTTCATTCCATCCATCCACCTGCAGAAATTCCAACCATATATTTTAGCCACAGTAAAAAGTTTTGCCTGCTATTTTGTTTGTCTTATCTCCTCTGCCTTTGATGGAGTTTTCTTTCCCCCGCATGTAGCTGACGAGTGCAAAAACTCACCTCCACGTCTTGTTGAGGCGATTGAACTGAACAATTCAATTGCAGAATCATATTGCATTATCACGCCAGCGGGCTAAACATTGCAGTTAAGTTCTACTTTCCCTGAAATCTCCCTGAAACTTGAGGTGAATCTCTCAGTAGAGCTGCATTTACAGATAAAAAAAAAATGTACTAGTGAAAGATGTAAGCGTGAATTTCTTCAGTAAATAGGTCATTGTATTGGTGGTCGCAGCTGTAAGCTATACCTTGGTGAGGTATGCTCTTGTTTATCACAAAGGCTTTCGTTTGGCTGAGTTCCTCCCTCTTTCCAGACGAAACGGGAATCTTTCCCAGGATTCCTGGACCATGTGTTTCTGCTCACCGATGCGCCCAGGCTTTCCCACCCTGGGAAGCAGACGAAAATGCACCAAACATGCGCTCCAATCAAGGAAGACCAATTAATGTAAGTGAGTCAAATTAAAACTCTGTCTGTAGCAGGAAATAGTTCATCTCAAGTGTTTGCAGTTTCCACTGTGGGAATTGGTACAATTTCCGCTACAGTCTTCTATACAGATGTTTGTATTAAATTGTGTTAACAAACTTTATCTTGGAAATCCCTTCACAGTGCTGTACATTTTCATGCTAATATCCTCAGCTGAACTTTTTTTTTCTTTTACTGTGTAATAACAATTATAGCAGCTAATATAGCTCTATTTCTCGTTACAATTGCATGTCACCTCAGAAAAAAGCTATTAGAGAAATTTTGACATGAGGTTTTGGAAATGTCAGACCGTTTGAACACAGCGGCGTATTCACAGCTCGAAGGGGGGAGAATCGTAGGCCCAAACAAAGCGACGAAATTCACAATCGGATTAGCATTCAGACGCGCTCTCGTACATATCTGCCATAATACTTTCATGGCGCGGCTGTCTGACAGAAAGCAAAGGACAATTAGGGCTTTCATGTTGTTAAACAGCGGCACTTCATCCTGTCCTCCTTTCAGATCGCGCGGCGCGAACATTTCCTAAAGGTTTCATTAACGCTGATACGATGCATTAACAGCAGAGCGCTTAATAATTCATGCTTTTATAATGAGGCTTTTTGAAGCTTTGCTTTGGTTACATTTCCACCAATGCGGCGAATGCGCACTTAAAATTCATGGAGGATTATTCTATTTCATACCTTTAATAAATCAAAAAAAAAAAGGAAATAGAAAACACTTGGGTGACATTTACATTAGGAAGCGTAGAAAGATGATCAATGAAACATGAGATAATGCTGATTCACATTAATGCTAATGAACGCAAAAGCATAGTACTTATCATTTGGGCAGAGAGAACAGGCCAGAATAGAGGATACAATATGAAAATGAAATATTATTTGGAATAGATGATTCCTAATATTAACTGATGGTGATTATAGAAATGAATATTTAGTAGCCTTTGATATAAATGGATATTTATTTCACTAGCAATTAGTAATTAGTGACTAGTACTATTTTGATACTTGGTACAGAATAGTAATGGAAACCAGTGAAGATGAGAAGACAACGAGACACATGTACGGTAATTAATTCAAAATTTCATCGCTTCAATGTCAAGACTCAAATGCATGCACATATTTTTAAGATGAAGAAGGTAACGGACAATAGTTGCAGGTATGATGCGTCCATATTTATCCTGTTTATTTTGGTGGGAAACATGAGTTTTCCGTCACGAAAGCCAAAATCCCGAAGTCTGTTTGGGTAGCTGATCACCAGTGCACGTGCATCTGCTGCCGATGGCTACGTCTTGTGCTCGTTCTCTGCCCCACCTAGATCCTGACCAGTGGACCCCCGGCAGCTTGCGGGGTTCTCCCAGCCGCGGGCCGGTGGGTTTCCTTTGGCTCCAGGGTTCTGGCCACTGCGGTGTATCTGACTGCCTGAGGAATGTCACAGGTAGTGACTAATGGGCTCGATGCCCTGAAGAGGGACAATGGAGCAACAGGTATATCCTGCGGGGGTGGGGGCGGGTGGTGGGGGGGGGGTAGCTCTTGGAAGCTAAACAGCTTGACGTTAATAATTAATCCCAGTCTCCAGCAGGCACTTAGTGATGACAAGCCCCTCAGACAAACTCTTCACCGCACAGAATGGTTACTATCGGCATTAGTTCTGGGTTACCGTAATGTGGACGAATACTGGGGCCTCCTCCTAATAAAACGCTAAACGGAGCTGTACGGCCTTCAAACCCTGCTTGCTCGATTCTGAGACTTCAGAGAGAAGCTACCTCTACACACAGAGCAGAAATAAATCTTGTACCTGTATCCTAATTAAACCCACATTACTGAGCATCTCAGGCGAAAATCTCAAGTGCCAAAAGCAGCACAGATGACACATTCTCACAACTCAGAGTTCCATCCTCTAATTAGCACCCTCTTTGTATGTGAACGACAATTCGGCCGCGGCTGCCAAATTATGCGGCGCTATTAGACGAGCCTCTTAAGTGGAAGCCGGCTCTCCTCTGAAAGCAATCAAGCCAGAGTCGCCCGCTGCTCTCGCCCGATTGGCTGACGTGGGCAAATAATCAGCTGGCGTAATTAATTATCGACCACGCAATTAGACACGGCACGAAAGACAACCTTTTGGGAAGCGGACAGGTCCATAAAAATAAAGCTCGTCACGGTGCTTAAGGACAACTCTGGAGCACTTTGCAGTAGGGAGTAGCTGAGAAATCATTAAGTCCTGATTTTTCTGTATTTGATGTGCTTCCCACATGAGACCGAAAATCCGAGTCAAAGATAAATGTTAAATACCCTTGAAAATTATGTAACATACCAGAGTTTGACCTACAGCTGCACATATGCTTCTAATATTAGTATAACCATTAGCAGTCTGTAATACTTTTAATGGCAGACCAGCATTTTTCATATTGTATTTGAGATGTTCTACTCATAATACTAGGAACACTAATAATTACTGTCCACCTTCATTTGAATTTACTCTCACCCTAAAATTCATTTTATTCTATGAAATGGAGCTGAAACAATGTTGAAGTATCTCACAAAGAATTCACAGAGGATTCATCTGCATGTCACTGAGGCAGCACCTCAGTGCTGACCACACATGTATACAGGAAATTGGATTATGGGGGAGGATTTTTGCCTGAACCCCCCACCCCCGTTTGAAAAAAAACACTCCACATTTATTTGTGTCTGGCAAATTTTGATGAGGGACTCAAGCAAAGAATGGAATTAATTAAAATGGCATCGTTACTAAATTGAAGTTAGGGGTGTTCTCGTCTTGAAGGTCAACGTTGCATTTTACACTGTGCCGTTTATTAGAATTCCAGACTGAATTGGATTTTTAATCATGCAAAATATTTTAATTAAAGCTGTCTATTAATTAAAGATGTAATTGGAATGTTTGATGATTGCTTAATTTGGCCTCATCCTGTGCTCCTATTAATATCCTTAAAATTGTCAAACATAATTTAATGGTCTCTTTTGTCACATAAGGTCACATTTAAGGGGTTGTTACTGAAATTACATTTGTGAGAGGTATATTTATGCACGCGGATATTATGATGATTTCCCAAGAGTAATAGTCCAGAAACGTCTGGGCAAGTTATACATAAATGATCATCATTAAAATAACATAAAGCGCCACATTCATTACATTTTTCACTGGAAATGGTCCTGTGGCAAGATTTAGCAATTTCTGGCCGTGATTTTGCCCAATGCTCCATTATAAATGCCAATTTTGATCACTCATTTGACAGCATTTGCATTAAGTGGATGCAGTATTAGTGTGACTTAATGTCCCTGAATCTGGAACACTGTAATGCATGTTAAAGTGGTAAGGTAATCTAAAGTAATCTAACGTGCTTGTCTGTGTTGCCGGCAAACACTGCCGGGTTAAGTGTGTTTTATTCCATGTGGACGACGAGTGAAACACCGACCCATTGTAGGGAGCAAAGGAAGACTCTAAATGCATCGAGTCACTAGAAATAGCTACGGCTACAGTAGCTGTGGCGCTAACAGCCCTCCTGGATAAATAATCAGATGTTTTAATTTAGGTTGCTGAAGCGAAATCTTCAACAGGTACTTAGTGTCGCCGGCTGCCTGTTATAGCTTGTATGGCGTGTTTTTCAAGCATTACCCAGAGCAGAAATAGTGGAAAATTGACTGAGCATGACCATCCTTCCTGCTAAGGGGGTTGGGTGGGCAGTGGGGGGGAACTACCCACATTAGCTTAGGCACCTCACCGTGGTGAAACAGGGTAAACCAGGAAGTCTCAGTATGGGTACCTCTCAAAGCCATGTGTTATTGTAACACATAATCAGTAATTTAAGTGTTAGATGAAGTGGGGCGGGGCAAGGCGGGGAGGGGGCGTGGCCACCCGAGGGGGTTGAGTGCAGTCATTGTACCTGTCCCTCATTTAGATGCACCACGAATAGCTGTTTTTTGCTTCCTCTTCCCTCCACTAATCCTACATCCGTACCTACCGACACACTTCAGCTCTGATTCACAGCACTTCAGTTTTCGTTTTGGTTCAGGTCCATTTCAGACTTATCCCCAATAAAATTTCTCTTCCTTCTCCAATGGTATGTGGTTCCTATAAGAACTCAATAAAAATACATAGAACATTCTATTATAAATGTTGTAAACAAACAAATAAATATCCCTGACCCTGACATGGGTAAGCCGTTAGAAGATGGATAGAATAATAAATGCTTTTATTGAGAACATTTTACTTACAGCCAGCAATTTATAAACACATTCATAATGCATTTTAATGCATTCATAAAGCATTATAAACATGGCTATTAATATTTATCAAAAGGCATGATACATTATAGCCATGTTTATTATGCATTATGAATGCTTTATGAAGCTCTCATCTATAATGCACTGATAGATACCTTTATAATGCAGTACAAAGCATCCTTAATGCTTATACCGAGCATTATAATGCATTATAAAGGTATCTATAGTCATTATAAATGAGAGCTTCATAAGGCAGTCATAATGCATAATAAACATGGCTATAATGTGTTATGCCTTCTGATAAATATTAATAGCCATGCTTATAATGCTTTATGAATGCATCATTATTTGTTATGAATGTGTTTATAAATTACTACAAACAGGGCCTTAAGTAAAGTCTTACCTAACATTTTTACTAAAATCACTCACACTAATGTCATACATAATGTTGAATCAGATATAAATATGTACCATTTTTTAAAACCCTGCCAACTACAAAGCCGGTTGAACTTTAGCAAGTATAAAATATTCTGTTGAGCGAACAGTAATTACATGCGCCCTTCCGCTCGCCCTTCAAGCACAGATTCAGCCTCTTGATTATACTTCCATCTTTAGAAGTCAAACTTCTTCTTTCGGATGCTTGAGCGGGACCCAAATATCAGAAAAGGCCTCCTTTTAACAGTTTTGTTTAATTTCCCCCCCTCCTTGGCTGAAGTTGGAATGCTCTTGTAGCATGTGGCCCGCCAGTTCGTTTGGACGTCGAAAGCCTGTTTATTTTAAACTCTCCACTGCTGACCCATGACTCTGCGTGCCAAACTGGGGAGGCTCGCCCATTTCCCCCGCGCTTGCACATTTCTCGCTTGGCCGTGTCTAGCCGGACCCCGGCAAGGCTTCCCATCCGAGCGCCTAAACACACAGGCGTATTAAGTCCGTCTGTATTGACACAGTCGGCCAATAGAGCAGTGGTTCCCTCTCGCATGAGCTCACGGTGATCCTCACATCTGCGGGAATGTGTCCAGTGGTGGTCAGGGTGGGGGTGCAGTCAGGCCAGGAACTGGGATGACAGACGGAGTAGGCTTTCTGAAAGCCTCGTGCCTTCCAATGTTTGTATACCCAGGGATGTTTGCATGTTTGTTCTACATCTACAGGGGTAGGCTTATGGTCTGAAGGTGAAATGTTTGGACTCCTCCATGTGTGTAAACTCAAGGTGTTTTGGGCTCAACTTGGAGGCTGAGGTTAGGAGCTGGATATCAGAACAAAAAAAAACAAAAAAATAAAATAACAAAACTCCCACAAGAAGTCATTTGAGGTTCATCTGCTCGGGGAATGCCTGCAGTATACAAGTGAAAGAGTTTGCTTTTCACCGAGTAATTATTCGTATTTATTTTTTTGCTCGGTTGCCTTCAAAGCTTAACGAAATACAGATAGGGTTTGCATAAAGCACGTTCACAGAAATGGCTAGTGACACAAAGACAAACAAGACACCGTTGAGCATGGATACCAATTTCAACGGTTTCGAGAGCATCCTTCAGAATCAGCGAGGTAGTCAGCAATTTCGATACGCAAACACCATAAGGCAAGGAAGGCAGAACCGCGACAAAGATGGCAGCTCATACATTTTTCATAGAAGAATCTCTCTTAGAACTGCATGAAAAGTTAGCAAAGAGCTTCATCTTAACTTGTCTGTGGAAAGTAGCACTGAACTGTGTTGTTACTGGTACAAAATCTATTGTCCTATCACTGGGGAGAGAGAAGTGAAAATGAACAGACTCCTGAGAGGAGGAAGACAGAAGAACTGAATGCTGTTTCTGGGGGGTGTTTCAGGGTCATGGCCAGGGGTGAGAACTCAGGGTATGCCGTAATGCATGGTTAGGGGTGTGATAGGTATTCTTCTAAAGGTGTTAAAGAGGCACAAGTCTCAAAAACAAAGGATTGATGAAAGCAGCGAGCAGAATTATGGATTATTTGGCATAGTGATAGTGTCCAAAGAGACAGAAGGGCAGAAGAGCCAGATCTGTGTTATTGTTGGTGGAGGAAACATCGATTTGGACATTAGAGGGATATGAAGAGCTGACTCATAATGTGAGAGAGACAGAGAAACTGCTGTTAAAGGGTAAAGACTTTGGTGCCTCCCAGGAAAGACACGATCCTGAGTAAGCAGAACTTTCAGAGTAACATCAAGGCTTCAGGTGCTGCCTGGAGATGCAGGAGAAGGAGAAGTGGGAACTTCTGTTCCC